TTTTTTTTTTTTGGTCATCAAGTTAAAAAAAAAGTAAAAATAATTTCCAATGCACAAAGTGCTATATTGATATTGGAAGAGCTGGAAAAACCCTGTGTTTTGCATATTTCTAAAGGAAGAAAAATAAATTTAAGCCACAATTTTGTTCTGTGCCTTAGCAAGCCTTAACCTGAAGAGATGATGAAGCTATAATAATTACGATGCAAGAAAAGACTGGGAGACATTTGAAATGTTTCTGTAAGGTTTACTGAGTCAAAGACTTCTGCACACAGAGCTGAAATAAATAAATGAAATAATTTTATCATAATTATAGTAACCATCATAGTAAGATTGCTTATTTAAGTTTCTGTCTTCTCACATATATATAATATATATAACTTTCAATAAAACATTCCCTTTATTATTATGTTTTTTTTTCTTTCTCCTGTGTGAATGAATGAGACTTTGGATTGTTCCACTGTATGTCCTGGTAGCAGCACTCTGTATCCATGATATCACACAGGAGCATCATCCCCCCTGGGTCGTTTCTAGAGCGACACTAAAGAAGGCACCCTCCCCTCTGGGCTCAGCCCTGCGCTCATCACCCTCTGCACCTAAAAGCTGAAGATGTTGTGTCCTCCGGGGGGAGGCAGGGAATGAGCAGGAATCACGAAGAAGGTCTCCAGATGTCTTTGGTTGTCGTTCGTTTGGTTTGCAGTGATTGGTTGACTGATTTTGGTTCAGCTTATTATTTTTCTGTACATTCCAGTTCTTAAAGCTTCAGTCCCTGCGGTGAGTTGTCGTGAGTTAATGCAAAAGACAAAACAAAAACTGCACAGTCCATTTCCAGAACCCCTTGTGATTTTGCTTCCCGCACTCCTGCAAACATACACAACATACTTTCTTTGTCGTCCTCTTTTTAGGAACATGCGTTTATTCTGTCATTTGCTCTAATATTTTCTCTATCGTTTTTATTCTTGCTATTCATCCAACGGTCTCACGGGTCAGTGCCTTTTAACRAGTGAGACAGATAAGTGCGTCACATGTCAATAGTCCATCATATGTGTGTTGGATCTGTGCAGATCACGCTGTCTTCATTATTTTTCTTGCATTTGCCATCCAGCTTTCCCTTTATCCATAGGCTGAGCACCCACTCTCTAGTTCAGTCAGTCTTTCCCCATCTGTGTTCTCTGTACGGTCCAGTTGTAATCCCAGTCCTTGACATTGTCCAGCTGGTCCCGAACAGCAGACATGAAGGCCTTGTTGTTTCAGGGGGCTGTGGAATCAAGGCCTATATAGCACCTGGCCTTCAGGTTCTGTCACTATTTCTGGACTGTGAAGGGAAGCAGACCAGGTCCGAAAAGCTTCCAGCATCGGTTGAGTTGCTGTCCAATTGGTCCAGCACGGGGAACAAAAACAAAGGAACCAGGGGCTTGTAGTGGCAATTTAGAACACATATAGCTAAACCCCCATTAATGATTCATTAAGTTTCTGGTCAATATTTGTCCCATCAAAAGAAGGTGTTCAGTCGTGTGCGACAGAAGAGATGACTAGGGTTAGCCATTGGAAGGCTCAGCTAAAGGCTTTGGGTGGAAACAAAACAGTGGGTGCTAGCGTTAACCACCGCTAGCGGGTCCCGGTAGCACGCACCCTCTTAACCCGCTTGCTGACGGTGGTGAAGCGGAAGGGCGTGGTGAGGTCGGGCTGTTCCCCCGGTGGGAAGCGTTTCATGAAGTGCACGTCCTGCTGGTTGGGGAGTGTGTGGGGGCCGCGGCGAGGACGCCCCCTTTTTGTGAAGCCGACATACCAGCCAGCGTAGCGCGCTGACATCAGGGCTGTGTAGTGATTTTCCAGCACCATTTCCACAAAGACGCAATCCGCGCTTCGGTTACTGGCCTTCTGAGAGAGCAGAGAAACCACAGACACGCAGACAGAAGCAAAGACCGGTTAGGGAAGTGTAAAAAATACAATCTGTGTTTTATTAACAGAGAGAGGACGGAGAGATCTCACCTTTCCTACTAGCTTGCCACGGCGGTTCATGCACAGGTAGAAATTGGTTTCTTTGCCTCGGATTCTCACCTGGCTGCCGAAGGTGTCTGCCTCCACTACGAGCTGGGCTTGTGAAGGGACAGACAGAGGAAGAGACAGACATTAGAGCCTTGAGCTTTTTTTTTAAGAAATGCAATGTAAACACGCTGTATGACAAAAGTATTTGGCCACCCATGTTAATTACTGACTTTAGATGTTTTAGTAAAGATTTGGGATAATAGAGAAAAAAATGTTTTAGCATATCAAGACATTTAGACAATATTATGCTTCAAACTTTTTTGACAGCACTTTAGTGAGGGTTCTTTTCTTTTTTAAGATGACAGTGCCCTGGTGCGCAAAGCGAAAACTGTAACGACGTTTGTCGACGAGTTTGGTGTAGAACTTGACAGGCCTGCACAGAGCCCCGACCTTAATCCCATCAAGCTTCTTTGGGATGAACGGGATCGGAGATTGCGGACCGAGACCTTCTTGTTCAGCATCAGTGCCTGACTTTTAAAATGCCCTGCAGAATAAATAGGCATAAATTCCCCTCACCTCCAAGAAGAGTTGAGGCTCTTTCAGCAAAAAGGAGGCCAACTTGTTGCAGTCTCTGTTGGTGTGATGGTCAGGTGTGGCCAAATATTTTTGTTCACATCCTGTAGCCTATTCCATAAACTTTGCATGATTTTGTTATGTACCACACACATATCACAACAGAAAATTAATATGTCAACAGTTCAGATCTCTTGCAGACCCAGATTGCCGATATTTCTTACTTACTACAGCAAAGAAGTACTTCATACTGACAGACTGACAAACTGCCAAGCAGTGTCACGCTGATAGCTCAGATTACCTGCCAGCATTAAATTTAAACCAGCTCTTTAAAACCAGATAGAGCACTCACGCTGTGTCACAGTTTCAGGATTCATAGTTGCTGTAAACTGTGCTAATAAATCACAGACAGATGTAAATTTTCCTGGCTGGACAGATGTTTGTCAGATAAGGATGATCACACACATGGATGTGAGGCCGCTGACCYCTTTGTATAAAAAAAGCCCAGTGGGTTCAGGGGAACAGGAAAATAATATGATCTTGTTGTTTTAGGGTGTGTGTGTGTGTGCTCTCGCTCCCCTACTGTGTTTTTGCGTGCGAGGATGTGTGCAGGTGTGTGATGCGTGCTCGTCCTTCCAGGAAATGAGGCTGCTGCTTCACTAACCGCACAGTTTTAGGGAGCGGTTGTGCCTGTTTAAAAATAAATCCCTAAAATGGTTCGTACATGACCTTAGTCAACAAAGGGGTCAGCAGAAATCAATACCTCCCTCTCTCTCTCTCTTTCGTCCTCTTCCCCCAACTCTCTTCTCATCCCGTCTGCGCTTTCTCTCTATGTTTCCACTGTTCTGCACTTGCTTTATCTTTCCTCTCTCAGTCTGTAAACCTTAAGCTTATCATATTTTTGCAATAACTAATCAGTTCTGGGTGAATTTTTCATCATTTAAATTGAACTGAAACCAAACCAGACAGTGAACTTGTGATCCCTTGTTTGGCATAAAATGAAAAATCAGAGATCTTGCTCTGAAATAGCAATAATAAAATACAATAAAATAAAAAAGAAGAAGAAGAAGAAGAAGAGGAAAAAAACTTTTCCAGCTTGTTTTTTTTTATCATTTCTATTAATCTGTGCAGTTTTAAGTATTGGTTAGCCATTATTACACTTGTGGGGGATGGACAGCCATAGTGTTGGAAGATGGAGGAAGGGAGGGAGAAGAAGCCTGCTGTTCGAAATCCAGAGGAGACAACAGGAAGGATGAAAAATCAATGGGCGGATCGATGAAGAAGATGAGTTTCTAACACTCTACCTGCCAGGCTTCCTCTTTTTTTACTCGCACTTTTTCAGCACCACCTTTCTTTTCCCTCTGTCTCTTGTCTTTTGCTCTATTGTGAATCCTTGAGTCAGCAGCCAGTCGATGAGGTCTTTGTACTCCCCAGACAGGCTTCACTGCCCTTCTGCAAAAAGCCTGGGGAGGCGTGTGTGTTTGCGCTTTTGTGTGTGTGTGTGTGTGTGTGTGTGTGTGTGTGTGTGTGTGTGTGTGTGTGTGTGTGTGTG